GTGTAACTCCTGTGACAGACAAAATTAGAGAAAGTCGTCTTAGATGGTTTGGTCACATTAAACGTCGACCATCTGATGATCCGATTAGGAGAGTAGATGTTTTAGATTCGACTTGTGTTAAAGAAAGGTAAAGGTAGATCTAGGAAGACTAAAAAAATAATCTTAATTTATTAAAATTAAATAAAATTATGACACTAAATAGGACGCAATCGAGAAAAAAAATTCATGAAGCCGGCCCTACGTAGTGGGATTAAGGGCTCGTTTGGGGCAGCTTATTTGGTACGGTGGCATTTTGAAAACGCACCTAACCTGTTTGGGTAAACCGCATTTTGGCAGCTTACGCGTTTTCAAAACGCAGAAAACAATATTTTCACGGTGAGAACTTATTGACAATTGTCTGACTTTTCCAAAAAAATAAAAATTATTTTTAATCCGCTTATAAATAGATTATTCAATAAGCTATAGCTGCTCTAGTACCAACAAAAAACAATTATGATAGAAATTGAAATGCCAGTCCTACTCGCTGAGTGGTCTTTTCAAATTCCAAACAGGCAGTAAAATAAATAATTTATTTATGTTTTATAATTGGATCACGGGTCATATCTTTTGGAAAATATATTTAGTTATATTTGACATAAGCAAAGAAAGAAATTTACAAACTTACCCCAAAATTCTTAAATTAATAGTTATATTTATAATATTTGATATCATAAAGCCACATATGAAAATAGAAATTTCATTTTTTTTTAAATTAGGAAGAATATTATTTTCGAATTGATGTTAAAAATTTGAGTGTTATGAATGTAATATGAAAAATTAGGTCATAGATTTATAAATATATAAGAATATTATATGACGCATGTATGTAAATGCTTCTTAAAAATAATTTACTTGAATAAAGTGAGGGTAATTTCTTAGAGACAAAATTCTTTACAAAAATAGGAAGAAAAAAAAAATGACAATGTGGAATATAGTTTAAAAAAAAATTCTTTAACATAAATTAAATGCTACTAGTAATCTCATTTTTTATAATTATACAAAATATTGATATATAATAGGCAAAAATTGCAAAAAAAAAAATCGTCACATATTATGTTATAATTTTAAAATACTTTTTGATAATTATAAAAAATATTTTGAAGGCTCTTATTAAATGTCTGTTTGGAGCAGTTTATTTGATGCGGTGGTGTTTTGAAAACACACCCGAAGTGTTTGGGTTAAACTGTGTTTTGACAGTTTATACGTTTTGAAAACGCTGAAAGCAACGTTTTCACACCACACCTATCTATGTGCGGTGACAGCTTTCTGACAGTGGTCTGACATTTCCAAAAAAATAAAAATTTCTAATAGTCACCTCTCCCAGCTTATCAGCAGAATATTTTTTAATCAACTTATCAGCAAATTATTCAATAAGCTGCAGCTGCCCCCAAACAGTAACTCACCTTAATTTTATGACAATTTATGTGATAATTTCTATTGAATCGTTCTTAGTTTTATTAATAAACCGTGAAGACATTGAGAGTATAATATTATTAAGGCGGCAAATGAAAATAGCTTAGTGCTTGCTCGGACACTGATGTTTTATTTTTATTAATTTATTTAAATAATTAAATCAATTTTAATAATATTTTTTTAAGAAAATTCTTACAAATGAACAAGTGTGAGTATTGACTCGTTCATCCATTAATATTTATGAAGATGCGAAGTTATTATTTAACAAGTAGCTTGCTAAAAATTTAATAAATATTTATTTATTTTTAAGTTAATTAGTTTTTGATAATTTATTTTATGACTTTTATCAAATAGGATAAGAATCTACATGCATATTAAATAGATTTGCCTAGTTGATTAAACGAGTTGGCTTGTCAAGTTGACCTGACGAATAGGATTGTCGAGTTAGCCTGTTGAGTTGATCAACCGAGTTGACTGGTGAGTTAAAATGTCGAGTTGATCTGGTGAGTTAGCTTGCCTAGTTGATTTGCTTAGTCAGTCTACGGAGTTAGCCTGTTAAGTTGCTAGATGATGAGTTCATACTCTCATAACACATATTTCAAGATCCAAAATCCTAAATTTAACTTTACATGTATAAATCTCCAAAATTACAATAAAATCATACTAGAGGAAATCTCTTCAAAGGAGATAAGATATTCTATCATTAAATAGCTTTTTTACTATTAATATTTCATCCTTTGAACTCTTTAATCCTTCATTTATTCTTTATTTTTCTCATTATTCATTATTGGTGACTTTGTACCCAAAATGATTTTAATGTCATGGAGAATCAGTTTAGTTTATACATTGGGGAACTTTTTCTTTATAAGTAGGTTTCCTGAGAGTAAAAAAAAAAAAGATCCCAAAAATTTTAGATCTTACTGGGCTCGATAAATGAATGTTAGGGATGATTTTGGAGAAGCTCTTTTTGAAATATAACTTGACCAAATAAAAGATGAAAGTTAAAGTTGCTCCTGATTTGTTTGTGAATCGCAGCTAATAAATATAATATAATATAAATAAATAAAGATAAAAAAGGAGGGACATAAATCAATTGAACATTAACCTGTCATTATCAATTATGTTATGTCTGATTTATTAAATGATTCCTTTATTTATGGAGAAGAGGGCACAAAATGATGTTATTACATTTTATCCTTTACTTTAAAAGGGTCTGTACTGGGGTATTTCTGGTATTTTAGATGTGTAAGCTTGTCATGTGACTACTTTTTGGCTTAGCTAGCTAAGCTTAATTAGCTTCGGGCAGGTGGGATCAGTTCGGTCAGTTGAGCTTGGTCGGTATGAGTCGGCCTACTGATATAGCCTTGTTCTCAACCCTTAATCCTTGATGAGCAATTGTCGGGACATCCCTTAGATGGTTGAAGATATTATGGAATCGGATCTTCCATTGGATCAATTTTGCAGGAGGGTTAGCTATTGCATCCGGTTGACCCTCCTTTAATGGTTGGCTCGGATGTTCTCTCACATCGCATATGGTTGAATGGCTCGAACTTGGTTGTCCAATCCTCTTTTTGTCTATCTGGTGGCTCGATTGGTTTTGGCCTGCTGGCTTGGGTCAAACATCTTCACTACTTGATCGGACAAGTAGGCTTCAAGATCTAGCAGTGGACTCAACTTCATTGTGTTCTTCTTCCCGTACCATTATATCTCCTATGGATCAACACTGACATATTTTTTTATGTAGAGTTGATTTGGGCATTAAAGGCAATGAAATCTTGGCCTATGTACAATTAAAAAACTATGGCAAGCACTACTTGTAAGAAAGCTACAACCATTGTTATGATACAAACAAACTCATGGAGTATCATTTTTGTGTAGAAATACACAAATTTGTTTAAACTTAATTATCTCATTGTTTTCAGAGTTGCATCTCAAAGAGATAAGAGAATTATAAAACTAAATATGCATATGAAGAAACACCATTTGAGATTGAGACAAAAATGGTTTTGACTTAATGTGCCTTTTTTATTAACTCACTTTCTCAGAGACCAGCTCACAAGTACCCACTGCAGATGTGTGCAAAATATGATGTACTTTAATGTATTTTTTTATATCTTCTATTGTGTCATGTTATGCTTTTATAGGGCATATGTTTTGTTACAAGCATTATATATAGAAGAATTAAGCGCTTGGAGCAACATAAGCTACGCCATAAAGAGGGATCCATCGCCATCATGATATGCTAACAATAATTCTTTTATCCAACATGAATCTTGATGCATTTTTTATGAAATATTTTCCAAATTCGAATTTAAGATCTTTCGGATTTTGATTTCATCAAGCTTATATTCAAACTGACTGTTTCAACAAGATGAACCCAGTGAAATTAAAATTGGTTAAATCAAGCCCAATCAAGTGCAGATCAAGCCATAGAAGCACATTTTGATGGTTTGGATCATCAATTAAATAGTCAAATGAACTCTAAATTTGACATATTTTCAGACAAATCAATTGTCTCGATGAGAGAAATCCAATGAGCCAAAGATTTATAATTTTTTGTGGTTACTTAGGCACACAAATCCTTAAAAAAATTATCTATGGTGGGTCAACATAGACCACCTGATTAGATGGTTAAGACAAAAAAAGTCGTTCCCCAAAAGGCTATAAATAGACCCTTCCTTTTCACTTAAGAGGGAGAGAGAAGATAAAATCCAAATTCTATTCATCCATCAACCACAATTGAACAACACCTCTCAACGACCGTCACCTGAACACCACAAGCCACCAACGGCTTGTTTGCAGCCATTGTAATCCAAAAACGATTGTTGTGTCTAACACCTATATTTTTTTTGTATAAAGACAAATATAATTTCGGTGTAAGATTGCAACCTTGTTTTTCCTGTTGTGGGAGAAAAGTTCACCCATGTACTTATAAACACGCAATGGATTAGTTTGATAGAGCTAGTTCTCGAGGTTTTCTCTCTTCTCTGGATTCTTCCAAATAAAAAATTTTGGAGTCTCCTCTTACTATTTATTTATCCGTGTTAAATTTTTGTACAATACAGAGACATTAAAAAATTAGTCTACATTCGTGAATTTTCTAACAAAATAAAATTTATTATTTACTTTGGCCAACATCAAATCCTTAACTTTGAACAATGGAATAAAATTTAGAGCATAGAACATTTTAATGAGTTTATTATAAATATATTATGATGTATGAAACATAAAAAAGAGTTACAAGAATACCATCAGTTTATAGAATAGTGCCTCTTGAATAAATTTTCTTAATCATGTACGTTATAATTAAAAAACTATCTTAGATCATTTCATCTTAACAAAATAATAGGCCATTTATATAAATGCCTCACAATTCTTAGGTATTTACATCTAACACTTATATTTTGCATTTTCATCTTTATACTAGAAATCTTTCATATCACATAAAATCATATGTTTGTTTAACTTAAAAAGGTGAAATAGATATGTATATAATAGCATACATATATATAAACCCACTTTAATTATTAAATCCCTAGTCACGGAACCTTCACCCTACATTAGTCCTCTGTGTGATTCCGTCGGCAAGTCCAACTGTACTTTGTACGCAGTGGGCTCGCCAGACAGCGCCGAAAACAAAACGACGACTGCTCTGCTTCCCCCCTCGCTTCCCTTTCCTCTCAACCTTTCCCTTTCTCCGCCACATCCACTCCCAAGCTGCTATATATACACTTCAACTCCAAGAAACAGACTGCCGATGAACTCCCGCAAATCAGAACAAAAGAAATGAGAGCGGAGAGGAACCAGGGAAGCTGCGTGACGATTCGGTGTCTTCCTACCGTCTCCGTCTCTCGATACTCCAATGGATCCTCCTCTTCAGGTTTCTCTTTCCCCTTTCCCCTTTTCTCTTCATAATCGGGACGACACCTCTTATTCTATCGCAAAATCTGTGTTTATTCTGCTTTCTGCGGCTATCTGAAATCAATTTGTTTATGTTCTAGATTAGGTTTTTTTTTTTTGCCTTTATCGATTTAGGGCACGGCATTGGTTAGATTGTAGGTTTGTGTTCGATTTTCGTGATGCTTTGTTTCGCTTATGTTTTGGTAGAATTTAGATGGAGTGGAGCGTAATGCTTTTGTGATTTTTGCATAAATGTTCTTCTTCCCTCTTTTGTCCTTAAGAGGGCGGCAACTTTGAAGGAATTTTAAAATTGCTTTTTGTCTTTTATGGCATCTGTTGGTTTTGCTTGGCGGTAGCCACTTGCGCATCCGGATTTGCGGATTAATTTACTATTAAATTCACTGAGCGTTTAAAAAAAGAAAGCGGCATTTACATATGCACCACACAACTTATATGTATTTATATTTATAACCTTTTTAAACTTTCATATTTACGTGCATAATATTCAAATCCTTAATATTGCATTATGTTAATATATATATATTTTTATTTATAGCTGTATGATACAACAGTGTTATAAATATAAATATTAAATTTTAGTTGTTAGATATGGAAATACATAAATGGTCAGGTATGTATTTAAAATTTCTTAAAAAAATTGTCATTTTCTGAAAATATCATATTGACAACGGAAAGGACAAGTTATTGGATTTGTAATGCTCTCAAAAGATTTCTTAGCTGGGACTTCGTCCGAAGAGTTCACCGCCCACCCAATATTTTTTATTTATTTTAAATTGCAAATATACCATTTTGCCATTGGCAGGAGTGCAGTCCTTGACGAGAACTGTATCAATTGGCCGGTGGCAGCCATGGTTTCTCAAGGACTATTCTCCATTAGCCAAATGGCAGAGAAAATGTAAGGCAAGTTTACTATTACTGTGTTAAGTTAATTAAATGATTGCAACGTGGGGAAATGTGTAATATGAATATAATCATCCATGGTCTTAATATTGTATCTGCTCGTGTTTGCGCTGTTGCAATTTTTTGAGTTCGGATTAAGGTTTTGTTTGGAAAAGCTTTATGCTTGCGTTGTGTTTCACAACATCACCATAACAGTTCTATTTTGAGAATTATGAATACGAAACGCTCTGTTTGCTCTCTTTTGATGGAGTTGCAGGCTCCATTCATGCCCGCATGCGACCAAAAAGTTGCTGTCCTGCCTGTGTTTTCATGCTTTTGCTTTCTCCGTAATAGGGAAATCGAATCAAATAGGGCCTAACTTTACTATTTTTTTCAAGAAACTTGATCTTACTTTAAATAGATTATATAAAACCCATTAAATCCGGATTTATTAAACTCTTTCTCACCGAATGCCATGATGGAGTGAATCTTTTAAATCTGTCTCCTAATTGGATTTAGTAAATTCAGATTTAGGTCGTAAAAAAAGACAGAATGTGAGAAATCTTGATTTAACGAAGTGTTACATTTAATTTTTTTTTTTTTAATATTTAGTTAAAAAAAGACAGAATGTGAGAAATCTTGATTTAACGAAGTGTTACATTTAATTTTTTTTTTTTAATATTTAGTTAGATTTATCTTAAATTCATGTCTGAATCCTATTAAAACTAGGCACTGAGGGTTATGTTTTGGCTCAATTAGAAGCGTATTTTTTTTTTTGAAAATCCTTTCATTATAAGACCAAGTACTTTCATTTATACTTTTTTAGAAAATTTCAAGGACAAAGTATGATTATTTTATTATCATGTCAAACATGTAATTTCGTAAAAGCTGGAAGACCTTGGAGGATAAAGCCCACCAAATATTTGAGAAATTGAAAATTTTCGTAAATGATGCTTCCTAAATTAGTTGTTTAAGTTATGAGGGCATGTGATAGAGACAGCATATAATTATATCACCTTCTTTCGTAATACAATTATTTAAAAAAAATCAATCATTTGCCACAATTTAGTATTCTAAACCTGACAGCAGCTTACATTGATCAACATAAATTTTCTGTTTTTACAAAATCGTTCCTTTAAATTCTGCAAATTTTCTCCTCCCAAATCAAATTAATAATGTGTCAAATTTAGTCACTGTATTTGAAGAGGAGGGGGGAGAGAAAATCCTGTGCCAGTGACTGATCTAATTTATTTTCTTCTGTAGACGATGTAACTTGTGGTTCTCCAAGATGGATTGGAAGAGGACTTTCTTGTGTATGCATCAAACGAAAAGAAGTTTATGAGCGCGTGTGCGTCAATCTAACTCCATCACAGGCAAGGGCAATTATTCTATTTTGGCTCATTATTGATATTTATTAGAATATTTCTAACTTATAGCTATTTAATGCTAATTTCTTGGCTGTACATTGGATAAATTTTTAAAGATATTATCAATTTCATCTGAATTGCTTATTAATATTCTCTTTTTTCCACTTCTACTATTATTTTCTATATATACATATGACTTTCATCTGTGTAGTACTGTCTTCATCTCGAATTCTATTGTTGCAGCCTCTATTGATTTTCATTTATAGCTTTGATGTGTTTTCCATTATTTTCTCTTTTCAGGATTTGGTTCTCTATTGTTTAATTGGTCCTGTCTCCTGTTTTCTCTAAATGATCTCTAGTTCTCTATCATTAATACCTTAACTAAATTCTATACTACTAATTATCTTTTATGGTGGAGGACTTAGCACTTCCTTTATGACTCTCACAATAAACTCCATTACTTGGATTTGCCTCCTCACGGCATTGACACCGTCAACTTTGAAAAATGACAAGCATCTTGGCTATGTTGATCTTACCAGCAATGCTTTCCATGAAGATCATTATTTTAGACCAACACGAACGGCACCGTTCACCTCGTGCTCCACTGCCTCATGCTCCAATAAGTTGAAATCTAGCCAGTCAAAATAGTTTGAAGACCATTATATCTCCTATGGTGCAGCGCTAGCAATGTTTTTTTTGTACAGTTATTTTGGGCATTAAAGACCATGAGATCTTGGCCCATATGTTAGGCGTAAGACTAAAAGGGAAGTTTAGTTATTTGTCAGTTATTATTGTGGGCTCTAAATAGAACTTAATATGTTTAGGGTTAGGTTATGTATGTAATTGTTGCCTCGAATTTAGGGTTAGTGTGTTTAGGAGAGATCGTCAACCTTTCAAAGGTGTTTATCTTTTATGTATTTCAAATTATATTATTTTGATTTGATACCGACGGAATATAATCTACTTTTTGTCCTAATTTCTGTGAAAATTTATCTCATTCCTATCAAATTGGTATGAGAGCTTTTGAAGCCTCTGCTCCGTTAGAAATATTTCTCGTTTACATTCAAGGTAGTTGCTCTGACTCGTATCGTCTGAAATCGAATTGTCAAGATATTCTTCGCCTTCGTGACTGGAACTCACAAAACTAATTGGAAAGCAGACTGGATTGTGGCTTTGTGGGCTTTGAAAATTCTAAATGGCCCAACCTACCTCAAAAATGAAAATAAATTGAAGTTTATTATGAGATTCATGATTGAATTTTCAGAAGGTAGATGGGTTAGTAGATCAGATACTACCCAGAGATTTCACTCTCATTTTGTGAGGGCTTTAAGATTTTGTGGTTTGTGGTTGAATTACCCCCTCCTGATAATGCTAATCATTAGGGAGTTAATTGCTCAGCATATAATAGCAACATGTTTGACATATAAAATTCACGAAAATCATCACTGACCTAAAGAGCGAATTATGGGAGCAATGATGACGCACCCGATCAAAATCTCATGGTTTCATCATCTCGGGTGTTTTGCACCCTGGCCTACTTAATAAGATGAGGCAATCGACCTAACCTGACAGACGAATTCTTGTCAGCAACTATGAGTTGCTTTGTTTAAGGGAAACCTATAGACTTGGGGTGAATATTTGTCTAGGGGACTAATCTAAGTCGACTTTAGCTAATAGAGGGTTTTGTGTCATATCAAATATATCAAGTGTTTCATAACTCAGAAGGGGCATAATACCATTTAGGAACATATTGGCTATAATTGTGATCATTTTATAGTGGAGCTTAGGGGTCAAACAGTCTGATGGAGCCTAATGACCAAACAATCCGACCAGATGACTCAGCTCGTAATTGCTTCTTTTGTGGAGTCTATTGGTCAAACCACACAGACAGAGGACTCAGGTCACTCCCTTACTGACATAGAATTATTTGAGTTTAATTTTAGGAATATAATCAATATATATGATATTTGACACTGTGAGTTTGAGTTAATAATAAATTTGTCCACCCCGATATATGATGGCGAATGATGACTAATTATTTGTTCTTGGTCTATTTGCAGATAGATAGTCATGTCAACTACAGTCTCTATTATGAAGGAGATCAGATTGGCCCAAAGAGGGCTCAATCTTGTCCGCCACAGTCTATTTAAGGAAAGAGATAGACTAAGGCGCATTACTTATGACTTTGCTCTGTACCCTTTTAAAAGCATACATAAGTAGCTATTTTCAATATGCAATTTAAAAAAAAATGTGAAATTTTTAAAAAGCTTTGAAATGCGTGCATGTTGCTCGAGATGAATTATATTTTAGCTTGAGTACGTAATCGACCTGCAAAACATTTTAAGACGCTTAAATTTAGTGAATTAAGATAGGTGACAGAGCAAAAGCATGCATTCAGGACTTCTGAATTTAAACTAAATTTTAGGAGATTATTTTGCTATTTGCATAAATGTGTTATCATTGGAAATGTATGCAAATCTTTCATTTAACCCTTTAATTTAACCTTCTGTCCGATAGTGCATAAATATTGCGGAGCCTTTGGCGGTCATGTAGAATTTTGTGTTTGGCTTTAAAAAAAATAATCTTCTTTTCTCTATCAGTGTATCGTGAATCCAATGACGACTAAACAAATGAAATCATTGTTTGACATTTAAAGTAACATTTATGTGATCACTTTAGCCGCAAGTTTATGATATTTCATATTTAAGCTAATTTGTAAAATTTCACTGTTCAACTTCAAATACTTTTTGCAACTATAAAATCCTAAATTTTGAATTATTTTGCACGTTCAAAATAGCCCTGAATCTTGAATTATTTTGTATGTTTAAATGAAAGCCAACACTTGAAGTTATTTGCAAGCTTTTACAGTTCAATTTTAACAACATTTTAACAACCTCCTAGCATCATTCCCATGAGTGTGGCTACATCGAGAAAGTCGGGCCTAACCATCTCATCCTTTAAATGCATGTATTACTTAGTGTTATAAAATAGCGTGACCAAAGTATTTTGAAATCCACGATGCCCTTTAAACGCACATATGGGGTAATCTGCAAGCACACATGAAAGCATATACATGCATACCCCCCTGTTGTGTCGTAAACATCGCCGGCCGACGAATTTTCCATGCACCCTTTTGGATAGAGGATAGACCCCTCCGATTGAGTTGCATTCAACACGACCATCAGGAAAGTGAGGTTAAATACTTATTTGGCCCTTTTAATTGGATTTATTCATTTAAGTATTCCAATATAGATAGTCATGTTACCTTCTCTATTATGAAGGATATCGGATTGGCCCAGTGGGGAGCTCAATCTTTTCACTACGGGACATTTAAGGAAATAGATAAGACTAAAGTGAGTTACTTATGACTTTGCCCTGTACTCTTTTAAAAGCATACATAATTAGTGGTTTTCAATATGATATATAAAAAAAAGAGATTGGACTCTATTTGAGTTTGGGTTAACAATAATTTCAACGTGCCTTTTAAAGGGCACGTATGAGATACCTCCAAGTACAGATCAGAGCGCAGACAGATATATCCCCCGGTTGCTTCGTAAACATCGCTACGAGTTTTTCTCATCATGCTCTTAAAAGTATGTATGAGTTTGCTCGTCGTGATAGACACGTCGCATCAGGCTGCGACACTAGCATATGAGTTTTTTTTTTCCCTACCATACTCTTAAAAAGCATGTGTAGTTCCCCTCCTCATGTTTGCGCAAACAGGACATACAAAGAGTTTTAGATCACAAATTTTTCTTACCTTTCGAGATTGGCGTCGACGGCAAATTTAGCAAGGATTTCAAGGATCACAAAGAATGATCTCTCTTTTTCTCTGTTCTACTCAGTGAATGTGAGAGGGCTTCGGTAAGGTCGCCGGCGGTATGGTGGGGATGGTGGCAGGGAGTAGATGGAGCGGGGGCGATTTCTCGGTTGTCGGGTCGCCGGAGAGAGGAGCGCAGGGGCTCGGACGGCGGCGTGTAGGAAGTGTAGGAATTTGGTGGAGGGATTTTGGGTCGTGCTATGGGTTGTGGAGGCCGAGAGGGGTGAGATTGAGGAGAGGGAGAGGTTGTGTGAGGGTTCTCGTGCCCGGGAATGGAGAAAAATAATCCACCGGCTGACGTGAATCAGAGAGAAAAAAAATGATAGAGAGAGAAAATAAAAAGGGTATTTAATGTTCGATGACATTCTCCTCCCGTCTTTTTCATCCATGAGTAATTGGGAATATATTATTATTTTCTTAAAGGGAAATTACATACAATGCATACAATTCTTATGAATTTTCTTTTCTCACACCTAAACTTTTATTTTTACACAAATATTACTTTCTCTATGGATGAAATGATTAATTTGACTATAAAAGGTGATAATGAGTATTACTTTTTATATGATGTTTGTAATTATGAAAGTTTAGATATGAGATAGATAAATATGAGAGTTTTATGTGTTCTATATATAAAAAACCCTTTTTTTAAATAGAAGCATCTCAATTAAGAGATGGGCATATTATTAATTATGTTGGGCAGGTCTACGAGTACATTATTACTTACAATAATGAATTTAATAAAACACAAATTGATTATTTTCTTATGAGAAGAAAAAATCATTGAGAATGTAAAGATTGCAAGGTCATTCCAAGTGAGCATTTACGTACTCAACATCGATTATTAGTTCTAAATTTTAAGATGAAAATTTTTAAAATAAAAAATACTAAGAATGTTTTTCTTAAAATTAGATGGGGACACCTAAAAGACGGATAAAATTATTTTTGTGAGTAAACTTTAAGATTTCAAGATTTTGGATATTTATGAAGAATTAAATTTTATGTTTGATAAAGTAACAAACACTAGTAAATAAGTGACAAAAGATATACTTAAAAATTAAAAGAATGTTTCTATAAATAAAAATAGTTTGTAGTGAAATAATAATGTGCAAGAAAAGATAAAATATAAGAAATAATGCTATAAATATTTGTTTAAATATAAAAACTTGAAAAACTGAGAAAAATATAAAATAACCAGTAGGGAGTCTAAGAGAACAAGTTGTGACGCTAAAAATTTTACTTTTAGTGATCTTTATAATATATTATATATTAAAGAGGTTCAAAATATAGGTCTAAACTAGGCAAACAAAGAGAAAGAAAAGGAAATATTTAACGTAAATAAAGTTTATTAAAGATAATTAAAAAGTATTTTTCTTAGAAAAATAGATTCAATATAGGTGGGTGAGTTATTTTAATAAACTTTTTAATGAAGTTTCTGAAAATATGATTGACTTCAGTAATCTTATTATCGTTAATAATAATAAAATATTTTATTTTTATCGTTGCATCAGTAAAAAAGAAGTTGCAAATGCTTTAAAGAAAATCAATGGTGGAAAGTCTGTAGGATATGATGATATCCCATTTGAAGTGTGAAAATATATAGGAGATTTGAAAGTTGGCTTACTAAACTCTTTAATATTATTTTAAAAACTAAAAAGATGTCTGAGGAGTGAAGAAATAGTATTTTGGTTCTCATTTTTAAGAATAAAGGGGATGCACAAGAGTGTGCAAATTATATAGGAGTTAAGTTGATGCGTCATACTTTAAAATTATGGGAGAAAAATATGGAGGGAATGTTCAAATTAGAATTTATAATTCATATACAATATTAATATTTAAATATATAAAAAAATATATGAACATATGTATATTTATATGTGAATATAAATATTTGTTATTATTAGTATATAAGTACATAATTTATATTAAATTTATCTAATTTTTAACAAAGAGAATATTTGATCCCTCGACTTATGCTAAACAGTCCAATTCAGACTCAAATAAGCTTGTTTGAATCGTATTGACAACCTGGACGTGCTCACGCCTTCTATTTTACAAAATGACGCTCGATGAAATTTTTTTTGTGAGTAAAAAATTCATGCAAAATGAACTTTATGCGCACAAAATCACGTAAAAATGAACGCGGTGAATGGAGTAGATATGGAGGTCAATAGATGCATATGGCTTCTCTGTCGTGTCCCCATTGTGATCGAACCTCACGAAATAGTTGTGATTTGAGCTAGTTGGGAATCCAACAATAGGATCTTGGTGTATAGGTTCAACCTTTATGGTCGAACATCACGATATAGTCAAAATTCGAGCTCGCTAGGAGCCAATGATAGGATTTTGACGTACGTGGTTTCACATTTATGGGAACACTTAGTAATCGAACCTCATGATACAATGCAATTTGAGCTATCTGGGAAGCCAACAGATGGATCATGGCGTGCATGTTCCACATTCGTGATCGAACCTCGCGGTATAGTTGTGATTAGAGCAACTTGGGAAGCTAACAATAGGATCACGAGATATAGGATTTACTCCTTTGAGATTGAAAATTATCCTGGGAGTAACAGTGGTCTAGAATGAAGATGCCTTAGAGGAGAAATTAGAAGAGAGTTGAGCCAAATTAGATCTGCAATGGAGAAATGTTTCTCAGGGCATGGAGGGGTGGTTCTCGTTCATGGAGGGGAGATTCATGGTGCTAGAAAAAATGCTGAAAAAATATCGTGGAGTTTCCCACAAACTTGTCGCAGCTCGCCGCAGGATCGAGCGACAACTTCTAAAGCAAGCGCAAGCGGAAAAAAAATTAAATAACTTTCGCTGCATCAGTGGAACGTCACTGTCTTAGGTGGATTTGTAGTCATGGGATTGAGCGAACGAATCAGGAGCGGACTCGAGTGACAACACTTGGATGGAATAGTGCGGCATCTGGACGGCTAAAATTAATGGAAGCAAGCGGGATTAATTAGTGGAAGCAGGCGGGATTGAGCGAGGGATTCGGAAGAGGATTCGAGCGGCAATATCTTGAGGGAATCACACGACATTTGGAGATTTGGAATGAGAGGTAACATGCATAATGGGATGTCGTGTTATTCAAAACTACTAAAGATCGATACAAATGATTTTGGCTTGAAATAGGGAACCACGATGGGCCCGGTTAAGGGTTACATCCAACAGCGCCAGTGCTTTTGCTCTGGCAGCCTTTCGGATGAAAGGTGAATCAGGAGCCTATAAGGACGGACATTTTGATAATGTGGTGAGCTAAACTTATTGAAGAAGGAAAACCAATATGGCTTGAAGAAGGGAACCCAACCCTTGCTTCATGAGTGGAATGAGTTTCAGCCAAGGAAATTGAGAAGAACTTGCATAAAAAAACTGAAGATGCTGATCTTTGAAGAAGATGATGCATATGGTTGGATTTATTCCGTGGAGGATACTTTGTTGTTAACGGGCTGACTGAGGAAGAAAAAGTGATGGTGGCGGCCCTGTGTTTGGAAGGATATGCTCTAACGTGGTGTCAATGAAGACAAAAACTCTAGCTAATCAGACTATGAGAAGAATTCAAAGACCGATTGTTGGAGTGTTTCATGACTGGCTTTTTGCATTGGTCTAGGAAGTTTTTGTCATGGATTATAGGGAAAAATTTGAGATGTTATCCAATCGTTCCCTAGAATACCGCATGGACCATTTAAAAGTGTTGATGGTACTTGGGTTGTCGGTAAATCCATCGAAGGTGATGATTACGTTGGCTTGGCCACTACCTAAGACATTGAAGGAGTTGAGTGAATTTCTAGGACTTACAAAATACAGAAAGTTTGTGGAGGGTTACAGTTTGATTATGTGTTGTTGACGAAGCAATTGAAGAATGATAACTTTCAGTGGGAGGAAGCTACAACCCAGAATTTAAGAAGTTAAAGTAGATCATGTTGATTGTATTAGTGCTGGCAGTACCCAAATCCAACCAACCATTTTTTGTAGAGATGAATGCCTCAGGCTATGAGTTAGGACTTAGGTGCAATGTTTTTTTTTAATAAAAAACATGCAAAAATTGTTTTTACGATAAAATAAAACAAAAACAAAATCTAAAAAATAAAAAACAAAAAACTGAAGTGATCCAAACAAGCCCTAAGTTGTTTGTGATCACTTTTAATTTATTTTATTTTCATCTTATTTTGCTTTTATTTTTTTTAAAATGAAATATGTTTGATATATTATAACATGTTTAGTTGTTTCTAAAAACACTAAAAATAAATTTTAAATATTTTGTGTTTTTTAAAAAAATAAACTAATTTATCTTTACAAATAAAAAATAAAACATGCAAAAATGAAAACTATCATATTTTTAAAATAAAAAGCAAAATAATAAAAAAAAAACAAAAATGATCCCTAACAAGCCCTAAGATTTTAGATTCTTTCCCCAATTCTCAGAATGTTGCAACAAGCTGAAGCTCATTGACAGTTCTGCTCAAGCTTCTTCATAGGTAAAATTATATCAGGACTTACTGATTTTGGAGAATAATTTATTATGTGGATCTGACTTTATATCCTTATTTATATTATTCTCCTTATTTTCCTTTTCTTTTGCCTTACCCCAATATGCATATAGGCTACTATCAACGGAAAAATAGAGTAACTTTGCTCGCAACAATGCACATATGCCTTCCATTGTATTTACATTAAATTATATAATTAATTCTCTTTTGTTTATATTTATGAGATACCATTCATGAGATCATATCAAAATAAAACTCATCTGATTTTGCAGGAGGAAAGGCTGAACAGATTGAAGCACCGAATGAATGTGTACTTTGATCCATCTAGGCATTGTCATCAGGTCCATTTTTATTTTAAGGAAGTTGCAAAAAATTTTCTTTCCTTTTAAATTTTTTTCCCTTGAAGAATCAGTCGTAGCGAAGACAAATAGTTTTCCAATATATTTAATATTCTCTTAAAGTGCTTTTCATTAGCCTACTTTCTAGATTATTTTGCTAATCTTCATTTTTGGGGAGTTTGGGCACTGAAGCAAAGTCACACAATAGTTGTGTCAATTTGGGCTGATAGGTTAGATTATTTTTTTTACGTGAAGTTGACCCAAACCTAGCCTACTTGATCCCTACCCATCAACTATATATGTGAAAATATTTTACCCAAATTCTACTCAACTAAACTTACTTGAACCCAATCTCGTTAACCCACTTATTTTATGAATCATGCAAATTTTGGGAACACGACCTAATTAACCCAAAATTTACCCATTTAACCAAATAATATACATGTTAAGACCAACAATTTATTTCTAGCTTTTCAAAACCCAAATCTGAATGATAAATGGGTCTAAGATTAGGCTGATTTTTGGTTTTGAAGGCCAAAACCTGAACCAATTCCAAATAATAATTGGATCTGCAATGTAGACCCAAATATGACTCGAATGGTAATTATGTCACTTGATCTCAATTTTTTTGAAGGAAGATTTACATATTTACCACTCAGTTCTGATGTATTTACATATCTAACACCTAAACTTCAACTTTACATATATGCCACCTTATCTATGCATGGAATCATGTATTTCTCTTTTTAAAAGTTAAAATAGTGGTATTTTTTATGTGATATTAAAGATTTGGATGGTATAAATGTAAAAATGGAAAGTTTAAGTGTTAGATATATAATTACCTAGGAATTAGGTAGTATACGCGTAAATGCCTCCTTTTTCTATAAGGTTCATGTGGGATTTTTGACACACCTATCACATTTAGAAAGTTAGAAAATCCTCAAACTCGCCAACGAGCAAGAGCATAAGCGGTTATTCGCTTTAACCGCTTATACTGGAATTGGCCAGCTTTGTAAGCTTGACAGTTCATTTCTGACTGGCTACTTGTTACAGTTGAACTACTAGACTTTGATGCATGGGTAGTCTAAACTATCAGCAGATGTTTCCTCTACTGCAACATAGGCATCAAAAATTATTTGACAACACTTTAAACTTTCTATTTATAATGGAAAATTTGAATAAAATTTTAAGCTTCTTAAAGAGCCTACAGTAAACTTTTTTAGTTTATTTTTCATAAAATTTTGCTTATGAGACAAAAATACCTGGCTTATAGGAAGCTCTGAGAGCTCTTTGGGCTTCTACATATCCAAATCAAGAGCTTCATGGATTGATCTCTGAACAGTGGAAACAAATGGGTTGGCAGGGTAAAGACCCATCAACTGACTTCAGGTTAGCAAAAGTTTTAACGCTTTTATTCTTTTTGTTTAATCTTCTTTAATGATATTACTTCAATTTACCTTTTGATAAACCCACCCAATACGTGAACAGGGGAGGTGGATTTATATCGTTGGAGAACCTGCTCTTCTTTGCTAAAACATTTTCTGTAAGATAATATCATTTCTATTTATTTTTCTTCTAAAACTTGTAGCTCTTGTGACTCCTGTCAATCCTATTTTTGGTGCTCATAACCAAGATCATATTCACCCCCAATAGTGCTGAGTTGGGAAGCATTTGATATTTCATTTTTTTTATTTGTTGGCACGAGTCCAACAAACGGCCTCATACATACGTGGTGTAGTAGTGGTCACTATCAGACATTTGCAACAGCCCCAAATAAAGCCATAATGTGCATTAACTGAATCATTACAGCACCATAATATTCAAGCCTACCAAAGCTTCTTTTGGTTATTTTTGACTGATAGTATTAACTAGGAGGGATTTGGTCTTTTGTGATGACGTTGCTGATATAGATGCTAGTAGATGCACAGTTCAACATATGCTTGCTTTTATATGGCTATATCAGCAGCAGCAGCATTATCATCACCATCAGACTTGCCAATTATTTGGGGCCAGGCTTATAAGTCCTTTTTCATTCATTACTATTGATTACTACAAGAAGTGTCAAAACTACCTTTTATACATATTATTTTGAACTACTACTAGAACCTTAATGTCATTTAATCACCTCAAATTCATATCCTTTCTACCTTAAGTGTGCACTATAGTAATTCATTCATCTGCTTTCAAAATTAATTTTCTAACTGTTTCTAATCCTAAATTTAACTATTCATATTCTAAAATTTGTCATTTTTGTGTTTTTTGATTAATTTTACGACCCACCTCAAGATTTGTTTAGTGTAGAGCACTAATATGAGAATGATAATTTCTATTATGCCAGGGATCATTTCAGAGGCTACTGAATAAGCAAGGTGGTAAGCGAGCAGCTTGGGAGTACCCTTTTGCTGTAGCTGGTGTCAATATCACTTTCATGATCATGCAAATGCTAGATTTGCATTCTTGTAAGACTTCTGATTTCTTTTTGCCCTCCAAACTGTCATTGTATTTGTACAAATTCCGGAAACATTTTTACTATACTTCTGGTTAATGATAACTAGGCAATGAAGTGCTTAAATTGATTCTCAATATATGGGAACTAAAACATAAATTGCATAGAATGCTTCTCTACAATCCTTATATCTGTATAGCTCAATAAAAATCCTTCGAAGAAGGAAACCACATTCCCTGTTGAAATCAAAGTCTCCTTTTGTATACATATTCAGGTTATGTTTCATGTGCTCCTAATTGAAGAAACATACATACAAAGAAACTATCTTGTAGCAGTTATTTGTATGAAAAAAGGAAGGTTTTGGAACACACAGACTTAGCTGTTGTCCCTTGTTTGTTCATAGACAAAAACTGTTAAATATTCAATAAATGCCTTCATAGCAATGGCAACAGAGGGAGTAGTATCATTCTAGCCATGGATATCATTTTATCGTGCTAATATTCAGGCAGCAATATTTCTTTCTTTGCGACTTCAAATTAGAATTACTGACCATGACAAGCTACCTTGCAGCAAAGCCAAGAACATTTATCAGAACAGTTTTCATCCAAATGTTAGCAGGTAACTAATTAAACTCAAGAAAATCCATGTACAGATTCTTTCATTCATTGTAGAAATTCTGCCTTAAATACCACTTTTTCTGTTATCAGAGGATGAATGGGCCTTCGATTTGCTGTACTGTGTGGCCTTCATGATCATGGACAAGCAGTGGATAGAAAGGAATGCCTCTTATATGGAATTCAATGTAAATTTAGTTTGGTGTTCCATATCTCCAGATTTTGCTTCCTGTAACATTAATGCAGGAATATGAACCATTTTGATCGGACGGTCCGGAGAGCTTCCCTTGATCAGATGACGTTTGATAGACATTTGAGTGCCTTAACGATGTCGGAATTGAGCAATCTTGGGCTCGTTGGATTCGTCTTTTCAAGACGCTCGATTTGACTGTAAACTCGCTAGATTCGACATCCTTTTGACCTTTCAAATGCCTCTGGAAATCCTCCAGTAGTAGTTCAATGACTTGATCCAGGCTTGATTTGACTCAGATTGGACTAACTTTTATATCATTAGGTCAGTTTCATCGAGCCGATCAGTATGACTATAATTTTGCTGAAATGGGAGTTCCGGATGACTCGTAATCGAAGTTTGAATGTTTTTTGCTCAAAATATTGCCTCGAGATTCGTGCCGATGATGAGAATTTGTTGATATCGTGTCAGAATGCTTCTCTACAATCCTTATATCTGTATAGCTCAATAAAAATCCTTCGAAGAAGGAAACCACATTCCCTGTTGAAATCAAAGTCTCCTTTTGTATACATATTCAGGTTATGTTTCATGTGCTCCTAATTGAAGAAACATACATACAAAGAAACTATCTTGTAGCAGTTATTTGTATGAAAAAAGGAAGGTTTTGGAACACACAGACTTAGCTGTTGTCCCTTGTTTGTTCATAGACAAAAACTGTTAAATATTCAATAAATGCCTTCATAGCAATGGCAACAGAGGGAGTAGTATCATTCTAGCCATGGATATCATTTTATCGTGCTAATATTCAGGCAGCAATATTTCTTTCTTTGCGACTTCAAATTAGAATTACTGACCATGACAAGCTACCTTGCAGCAAAGCCAAGAACATTTATCAGAACAGTTTTCATCCAAATGTTAGCAGGTAACTAATTAAACTCAGGAAAATCCATGTACAGATTCTTTCATTCATTGTAGAAATTCTGCCTTAAATACCACTTTTTCTGTTATCAGAGGATGAATGGGCCTTCGATTTGCTGTACTGTGTGGCCTTCATGATCATGGACAAGCAGTGGATAGAAAGGAATGCCTCTTACATGGAATTCAATGTAAATTTAGTTTGGTGTTCCATATCTCCAGATTTTGCTTCCTGTAACATTTTTTTGGTTAATCTTTTAACTTGATTAACAGGAAGTTCTCAGATCAACTAGAATTCAGCTGGAGAAAGAACTTCTGCTTGATGATGTGATGCGGATCGAAGACATGCCATCCTACGGCCTCCTCTCCTAGTGATGGGAAGTTGTCATAATAGCCCTGACATCAACTGTATAGGCTGTTTCCCCCCTTTTTAAAAACAAACCCTATTCTTCTTGTTAACAACCTTCAGGGGCCTTTTTGACAAATTTGACATGAACCATGACCTGAACCCATTGTAAAAAATGTTTCAAACATTGGCCTTGAAATCTAATATTTGTGCTCCTTTTCTAATTCCTCTTCCTTTCGACACAAGATAAAGCCATGTAGTATCTGCAAAGCAATGAATAAGCAGGTTCATTGAAACCATCAACAATTTGAAGTTCTTTCTAATTAAATAACTTGTTCTCAGTTTGCATCAAAATCTAACATAAAGCGTCGCATATAAAACTTAACTGATTGTCTCTCCGAATGAGTTGAAAGTGAAGAGAAAGGGTTCGTTCAATGTAAATTTTTTTTATAATATCCATACAATCCTTATTTTAATAGAAGAGTTTCAATCGAGCACATATAAGCCTAATTAATATTATTCTAATATTTTTTGTCTGAAGCTTATCTCACTTAAATTGTAGTCAGAATATCATAACCCAAAATCTCTTCAGCATGGACCATGGAATGAGCCTTCTCCATTGAGTGAAACATCCGTTGTTCTATCTCTCCATTTCATGGAAAAGTAAGGGAGCTGCATCCCATGTGTGATATTCCTTTCAGACATTTCCACAAACAGTTTAGGGGCGATAGAGACCTCCCTATTCTTCTCAACAAGGGCCATGCCGAATGCCAAGTATGAAAAGAAGCTCAATTCTCGTCTTCATAGATAACTCCATGGATCTATCTGCTTCCCCATGTCCGGCTAACTTAATCGATAGTTACTGTCAAAGTAGCTAGAATAAGAAGTAGAGAAGAACGGAAGAAGCAGGAGGTAGAAAAATGGGTATCGCATATATGATAAAGCATACAGTATTTCCCAACACAACTGACTTGACTTACAACCTCTATATATTGTAGAAGATTATAGTAGAAGATTATTCTGAAATTATGTATGCGAGTGGGAGATAGGAAAAAGGTCCTGTGCAGCAGCTTTATGAGTAGACCACTAAATGTGCAACCGAAAATAATAAATTGATTAAAGGTTTTACTTACAACTGGTGCTGTGAATTTAGCTCCAAAATAGTTATTGGCTCCGCAATTGATTTGAATTTTTGTTTGGATCGACATAATTGAACCAAGCTACAAGTTAAAATTTTGGATCAAATTTTTTTTGAGCCGATTTTAAGCCAACACCAGCCTGGCTTGAAATCATATTGTTAATAGCTCATGCCGATAAATTTAACGAATTTAGCTTGAAGATTGTTAATCGCTCGAAAATAGATTCAAATTTTGACTCGAATCGAAATAAAAGAGTCAAGCTACAAGCCAAAAGTTTCAATTGAATTTTTTTCATGCAGATTTTGAGCTGACCCCAACTCAACTTAAAATCAAATTGTTAATAACACTGCTAATAACTATATTCCCGCCCCACCACCCTGAACAACGTCAAGTGGCCCGATGACAACTTTGCTTAGGCATTTCATCAAATAGCTGGTAGTCTGGAAAACTTTGCTGAGAAGAACATCGGTGATGGCGCTTGGGCCTTGCACTTATGTGGATTTGGTGGGTGGCGGACAGGTTCCTGGAGCCCCAAGAAGGCCAGAAAATATTACTTGCGGATGAGATAGATATAGATTGATAATAATATGTTAGTATTGTGATAAAATATTACTAAAATATTATCATTTCGGATGTGCATTATCCACGCCCAATCTTCGATCCGAGGAGAGGTAAAAGATGGTGGAGGTAAAGTTGGCCAGAAATCTGTTTTCAACAGGGTTATAAACGAGCCGAGCTTGAGCGAGCTCAGATTTGACTTGTGTTCGGCTCGTTTGAAATTATTGTTTGTGTTCGAAATCAGCTCGTGAACAGTGTGTTCGTGTTCGGCTCGAAATTGACTTGTTAAAGTTAAATTGAAAAAAATAGATGTAAAGTGTTGGATTCGAACCTGGACCAAAAGTATGAAAAAGAAAGAACATTACTACACAAGTTATTATGATTTAAACTTAGATATAAACATATATAACATATTCTTATATAAATAATTATATAATTTTTTTGGAGCTAAAACGAGCAGAACACGAGTGAACAAAGATTTGTTTGTGTTCGGCTTGTTTATAATTCGAGCTTTAAAAACTTATTCGTGTTCGACTTGTTTACTTAACAAACGAGCCGAACACGAGTCATTTAATGAGCCAAATAAAAGTTGTTCACGGACAACAAGCTATTTCGACAGCCTTATTTGAAACTTCATGTTGCCGCTGCTCTGAATTTTAAAGAGGAATGTATGATGGAAGTCATTGAACGGGAAAGCAGCCGAAATCATGAAAATACATGTTTACCCTTATTCTCTTGGAGAAGTTGAAGCGAGAGGAGCGCAAAATTGTAATTTTGTAACTATTATTCCCCCTTTTTCTTTACAAATAAACCACAAAGTAGCTCAAATTCGCAACGAATTTTTTTTTTTTGGTGAAATCATGTCGATTTGGGCCGACAAGATCTTATACATGGCATACCTTTGATGCAAATACATGGCATTGCTAATTTTTATATTTTTATATATGTTTATTTCTAACACCTAACTTTACTTGCTAGATGTATACCACCCAAATCTTTCAAATACATCAAAAATATCACTATTTTAATTTGTGAGTTGTTTACATACATAACACCGAAGCGTTGCTATTTACAATTCTAGTTCGCTTTTTCACCCAGTTTCAGATTTTCACTCAATTATCAAAATTCTTCGCAAAATCCCAACCCATATTTTCCATTTTTTTATCAAATTTTCAATGATTTGATTGTGACATGCATAAATGTATCTGTTTGCAAGTTCAAAAATATAATCTGGGCATTAATTTTGTAAATAGCAATGTTTTCTGGTACTGTATATATGTAATTATCCCTTAATTTTTCAAAATTGAAATACTCCTTTCCCAGGTGCGGCACATATGAAAAAAAATAATATTTAATTGTTAGATAAATAAATGCATAAGAATTAAGTGATGCATGTAAATTTTCCAAAAAGAAAAAAGAAAAAAAAATTAAAAAAATAGATTGGGTCTAGCTTTGGACAACAGAAAAAAATACAATTTCACAATTTTGAGCAATTGCCAGAGCTCCAGAAAAAAAAAAAAACTAAGGGAAAGGAAAGGGAGAATAGAGAAATTAAAACCAGAGTAAATTAAATATACATTCATATCTAAGTTAGTCTTCTTCTTTATTCAGTTTTTCCTATATTACTTACCTATTAATATGGAAACCAATAAAGCCATGACAACCTGGAAGTGGCTATAAGATGAGGTTAGAGTCCCTCCCATTGTACCAGATATTCTATTAATAAGGCGGCCCTTTTATCCATTAGTAGATGGTTAGCCCAAGAATTGCAGGGAAGAATTGTCAAATGTCCCTTTTTATGTTGTTGAAAGGGCTTGAGCAAATTAACATAGAACACAAGATCTATGTGTGATTCGACAACTAAGCCAATTTTGTATGTGACCTCTCTCAGACTATGTTCTATTAATGCATATGGGTCATAATATAAACACCGAAACTTTGAGAAGGATTCTTGTTCATGCAGATAATTGTTAATATAGTTGTAAATTGACATGAACTTGATCGACAAAAATAAAATGGACATCCCGGCGATCCTTTTCTGCTTAATGTTTCATCCAATTTTGGGCATTGTGTAAGCTGTTGAAATAGTTGATTCCTTTCATCTAAGGGGGTTTCTATGAAATATATGAATTTGCCCACGAAATTATCCTAAAATAATCTCAAAATAACTTTAGGATCCTACTTAAGTGCCGCATATTATTAGAGTACGTGGAACTACATTGGAGTCCGGACCCTACACAGCATCCTTGCACAGCGTTACCGCAAGGGCGCGCGCGCGGATTTGATACACCCAATTCACCTTTTTTTCTAGTTTGGCATCTCGATCCTTCGTCTTTCGGTTGAATTCTAAAAGGCGACTCCTTTTTCCTCTGGCATTTCCGTTCACACCGTTTCACACTAATTTAACCCTTGTGGCTGACAATAAAGGGCCATTGGAAAGCTAAAAAAATGTGATACGCACTACTAGGCTGCTCAAACGTTAAAGAAGAAGGAGATTCCCAGTTTGAAGTGGACTTGTGCGCAGTGGATTCCCAACTTATTTAGTAAAGCAGTGAATGTTTTGCATAAGAACTGCATTGTTTCTCAAACTCTGTATGATAGCGAGGCATGAATTTTCTCTATTCTCTGTTAGTTTTCCTGATGCTCTTAATTCCCACCGCGCTAGCTCAAATCAATGGTATTTCTCGCATTCTTCTTAGATTCGATACATTTCTGCCATGATTTATTCTCTGTTTTCAATTCGTTGATGTCGAGTGCATGTGCTTTTGCTCCTGGTTTGCTTTAGATTCAGTTGAGGTAAAACCACGAATTCCATATCGATTGCCGTTGGATTCATGTGCATCAAGCTTGTTTTTTATTTTTCTGTGAGGCTTCTAAATGGCTGTTAAGCTTTATTCTCTGATTTGTTTATTTATTTATTGTTCTTTTCATTGGCTATTGCTAATGTTGATTTCTAGTTTAAGAAAAAGGAAAAGCAATTCAAGAGGTATGGACTCATGATTTTGCTCTTTTGCAGAATTTGTTAGCATAGATTGTGGATGCAAGAGCAATTATTCTGACTCAAAAACTGGCCTATCTTGGGTATCAGATGCGACACTAATTAGGGATGGCAGTGTAGCAGAAGTTAAGACTGAAAATGAAATCAGTCCTCAATATAATTCCTACAGATATTTCCCTGTGGGCAACAAGAAGTACTGCTATACATTGAATACTACAGAAAGAAGGCGATACCTCGTTCGTGCAACTTTTTTCTACGGGGATTCTATCTCTGGAAGTTCATATCCAATGTTTCAGCTCTACTTGGATACCACTTTATGGGCAACTATAACAATCAACGATGCTTCCAGAGTATTTATTGAAGAAATGATAATTTGGGCGCAATCAACTTCTCTTCAGGTGTGCCTATGCTGTGCTTCCACTGGGTACCCCTTTATATCTACTCTTGAGCTCCGGCCATTGAATCTTTCGATGTATTTCACCAGCTATGAGGAGAGTTTCTTCCTGAAGGTTGCAGCAAGAATAAACTTTGGTGCTCAAAGTGCTGATCCAATTCGGTGCGGATCCATCAATGTCTTCTATGTTTTCTTAGCAGTTTTATATGTTTTATTTTAAGCCTTATGCTTGATTGTGCTCTAAGGCTCCTAGACGGTATTCGGGAAGAGGGTTTATAGGGCAGAGATTGTGGAATGGTAAGGGAAAGATAATATGTGAGTCGACGGCATTTGGATTGGATTGCAGAGATAAGGTGGCTGTTGGAAAACAGCTTGGCGAGCCGTATGCAGGAAAACAGCAATTGTCTGCTGGAAAACAGCTGGTAACAACGAGTTGGATTGCTGCCCGGCTGAAAACAGTAGGCCGAACGGCGATATACAGGGGGCGAGGGAGTTACATCACCTGTTTTTAAGCAAGACACAAACACACCACTTGCAAAAGGACATGATACAATACTACAGAGAGCAAAATTTAGAGAAAACACTTCTCAATTCATAAAATCAGAAGACTCCAAATCCAAAGCCGTAATACAACATATATAGAAGTCCCATTAAAGAAAAATCTAATTAGAAATTAGGAAAATAGGAAAGAACTATATAAAAAAAAGAAAAAAAAAAGAGGACGGAAATTGATGCAAATAACTTTAATAAAATAAAAAAGACATCTTCTATCGCTATTCCCACACTTGCGGAATTGCCATAACCGCGGTGTCGAAGGATTCATTTGATCTAGTCATGGGATTTTACGATCCTGCAGTTGATTGGGATGCTCCGCGTCATTCTCATCGGCTAGAAGAGTTTTTTTTCTCTGGTTAATGTTCTTTCTCATAAGACACCTGTCGAGATTTTCGAGACAACATCTCATCGCTCCTATTTGGCTATCTATCTGAGACAACGTTGTGAACCGAACCAAAATTTAACACCCATATTACTCCATACAACATTCCAAAAATATCTCAAGATCTTCTCATCTCGGACATATTAGATCTCCCTCATTGGTGGTAACTCATGAGGTAAACTATATGCTTGACAATTTAAAAATTCTCTTATATGGAGTTGGCATGTTTAGTATTGGTTTCTCAAACTCATGTGCCGCTTGGACAATCAATGCCAGTCCTGCTGATGATTCTCTTAACGTCTGCAAAAAGGCAGCTTGTGGCACCACCTCCTCAAAGCCTAAATGAAAGTCCATTACCTCAATCTCACTACCTTCTAGAATAACCAATGATAATCTTGTTGGAGTCTCTCTCATAGGCTTAGCTTGAATAACTAGCATCTCTCCCTCGTCAGATGGATGCTAATACTCCTCTCCAATCTTCTATTGGTCTTCATCCTCTGCCTCCTCCAGGACACCCTGCTAGGTAAAAAATATCATTCTCTTGTTTGGGCAATCTGATGTAATGTGCTCGAACTTGTGACACTTGAAGCACTGTCTAGCTGGGATGAATTTGGGAGTGCAAATGGGCTCCATATTTTCTCCATTGTGGATTGACTTCTCCTTTGACAATATTGGTTTGGATGCTTTACTGGGTGTACTGTCTGATCCTGGAGTTGAACTCTGCCTATAAGGTGTGTCGGTCACTTGGTGATGTTGCTGTTTCTTCACCTTCAAAGCTAGGATTTATACATCTAGTATGGACCATTATTGTTGCAGCTGAATTACATTATTGATAGATGACTTCTGCGCTCTAAGATATCTAGCCATCGCATGTTCCTTTGGTTCCGCCACCAACTCACATTTCAATATAAGTTGATCAAAGTCAGTCATGTACTCCTTCACAGAAGTCTCTCGGCTTTAAGCCCACATCAATTTTATTTAGTTATGGATGCTCTTACTGGACATTTACAGGAGGATGTACCTAGGTATATGCTTTTTGCTTATGATATCCTTCTTATGGATAAAACTAGTGAAAGACTTCAGGAGAAACTTAAATTATGGAGGTCTACATTAGAGTGTAAAGGCCTTCGTTTGAGTAGATCTAAAATCTAATACATGGAAAGTAAATTTAGTAGTTGTAGTTCTAGTGATAGAGTTGTAACTATGGGTGATCAAATTATTAAAATGTGCGAACGTTTTAGATATCACGGGTCTATTATTCAAAGTGATGGTGATATAGAGGAGGATTCTATAGTAGAATTCAAGTTAGTTGTTTGAAATGGAGGAATGCATTGTGCCGAATGTGTGATAGAGAAGTATTGCTTAAACTTAAAGGAAAATTTTAAAACATGGCGGTGAGACCTGCAATGCTCTATTTGTGATAGAGAAGTATCGCTTAAACTTAAAGGAAAATTTTAAAACATGGTGGTGAGACCTGCAATGCTCTATGACATAGAATGTTGGCCTTTAAAAGAGAAGTATAAAACGAAGTTAAGTTCAGTTGAGATGAGAATGCTTTGGTGGTTTAGTAGCTTGACACTTAAACACAAATGCGTAATGAATATATCCGTGATAGGGTTGGTGAAGCTCAAGTGACAGCCAAGATTGGAGAGTCTTCTTAGATGGTTTGGTCACATTAAAGATCGAGTGTCTCATGATTTCAACCAACTGATGACCTTGTTAGGAGAGTAGATGTTTTAAATTCAAATTATGTTCTTTGTTAGGAGAGTAGATGTTTTAAATTCAAATTATATTCAGAAAGACAGAGGTAGACCTAAAAAGATTTGGGCTTATTGTATGACAAATGATTTTAATCTTTTAGAATTAAATGAAGATATGACACTCAATAAAACGCAATGGAGAAAAAAGATTCTTGTAGCCGACCCCACTTAGTGGGATAAAGGCTTATTGTTGTTGTTGGTAATGTGAGAAAAATATATTTGTGCTACATCTCTCTTTTCATCTTAGACCATGTAATAATACTACTTTTTCTTCCTCGCTGTCGGATACGCTTCAAATTCTCTCATCATAATGAAGTATTTTTTCTAAGTTGATGACTTTCAACTTAACTTTTTGTCGTGAGGAACATCTTTTTACTAAAAAATTCGCTCCACTGTTTGAAGCCACGTGATGAACTCATCTGAATTCATGTGACCATCAAAATTCAGTAATTTTATATTTACTGCAAGATTATGGCTTTTCCTCTGATATTTCATGCTGAATTGCGAGGTAGTGGTTCTTTGTTACTAGAAACTGCTTTGTGGAAGGGATTTGCTTCCTTTTCTTGAGCTGACGAGTCACCATTGTGGTTATGGGTGACCTCATGAGATTATTTCCTATCTAAGGAGGCAAATCTCAGTTGGAGGATTTCTTGATGCATTTCTTCCATTGTAAGTTCTTGGACACGTCTTTGTTGATTTCTCCTAAGAGGCATTGTGTCCTTTCTTACTGATTAGGTTTCCAACGGATATAAGATTGTAATTTAATGTTGGTCGAGGATTAGGGTTTTGGTGGTAGGTGTTTGGGTGAAATTTTGGTAAAGGTAGGAAAGTTGGATTTTGAAAATTTTAGGATTGAGGCTAGGAACTGAGGTAGGAACGATGAATGATTTGGGTGAAATTTTGGTAAAGGTAGGAAAGTTGGATTTTGAAAATTTTAGGATTGAGGCTAGGAACTGGGGTAGGAAAGATGAATGATTTGGGTATGTTGAGTTCTTTCCTAAAATTTTAGATTGTTACAAGGAATAGAGAACCTCAAAAAATTTAGGGATTGTTGGGCTCTGATACTAGATGATACAGTTTTAGGGCTCCTAGATGGTATTCGAGAAGCTGATTTAGAGGGGAGGTGATTGTGGAATGGTAACATGCGAGTTCAACGGCGTGTGAAGTTCAGTACAGGGATAAGGTGGCTTTTGTATAGCAGTTTGACATCTATCGGCAGTTGTCCCGCGAGTCAGACGTGGAAAGACATCGATTTCCTGCTGGAAATAACATGTAAAAATGAGTTGGATGGCTAGCCGGCTAAAAACAGCTGATCGGACGGATTTACGGCGATATAAGGGATGCGAGGGGTTCCATCACCTATTCCTAAGCAAAATATAGGCATACCACTTGCAAAAATAAATAATACAACATTGTTGAGAGCAAAATTCAGAGAAAAGACTTCTCAATTTATTCAATAAGAAAACTCTAAATTCAAAACCCTTATACCGCATTTTTAAAAGTCCCATCCTAGAAAGTATCTAATTAGAAACTTTGAAAGTAGGAAAAAATTAAAAAAGAAAGAATAAAAAGGAGGAAAATTGTTGAAACTAACATAAATAAAATAGAAATGAAAATCTTTTTCCGCTATTCCGACACTCACGAAATTGCAGCAACCGCGATAACACAGAATTCCCTCTATCGGGCTGTGGGATTCTGCAATCCTGCAACTGAGCGGGTTGCTTCGCATTAGTATGGTTCTCAACATGATTCGTAAGACCCTTTAAAGTCATTTAAGCAAAATTTTTTAAGCTTCAAGTTGTCTTTTGGTGTTTCTTGTGGAACTTTTAAAGTTGTAGTGTAGTTCTAAGTATAGACCATCTTGAAGTGGGAACCAAGTACCGTAGGATAAAAAACTAAATTATAGGAACTTATGGCTCAAAATGTTGCATAATAGGAGTCACTTTTTGAACGTTTAAAGACTATACTTGCAATCATATCTGCTTGGTGGTTGATTATGCGTAGGGGTGTAAACGAGTCGAGTCAAGCTTGAGCCACCATTGGCTTGAGCTTGAACATGATTAATTTTTTCTAGTTCGAGCTCGAGCTCGAGCACGAGTCTACGAGTCCGAGCCGACTCACGAGCCAACTTGTTTAATATAAAAGAAAGAAAATAATAGTAACTTAAGGTAGTGGTATCGTAAAATGATAAATTGGATGGCATTTAGGATAGAAATAATAAGAAATCACTTAATATAAAATATTAAATATTATTTTTTAAATATATTAAATATTTTTAAAGATAAAATATTCAAATTTAATATATTTGATTAAAGTTTATATTAATATTTTTTTAAACAAGCCGGCTCACGAGCCAACGAGTTAAGTCAAGGATAGCTTGAGCTTGTCTTGTTAGCTTATTGAGCTTAGTTCATGAGCCGCTTATCGAGCCGAGCTTGAGCCGACTCACGAGTCGGCTTGACTCACTTACACCCTTAATTTTGAGTGTTGTGTAAGGCTACTAACAATGACATTATTTCGATATGCGGGTGAGATTGTGTGTAAAGATAAATAGTACTCTTGGACGTTAAGCCATCTTTTGGTGTTGTAGTAGATTTTTTCTTTTAGCATCTCAAAAATTGCGTTCATGTTGATGCACTCCTAGAATGGTAGCCTTCCCTGGAAGTTGCTTTAGGAGGATAAAATAATGAGTTTTGTTAGTCCAAAGGGAACAATATCTTGATGCAGGATAAAATAATGAGTTGTGTTAGGCCAAAGGGAACAATATCTCGATGCATAAGGCTGACAACTTTGTTCAAAACTAAAAACTGAATTGATAGTCGCTTAGAGTTTTAATATGCTAGATATCTCCATTGAAATCAATTTACTTCAACTTGACTATGGTTCGCTTGAAATTAGTTTGATTAATAATTGCTCGAATTTTAATCAATTTGAAATTGAAATTGATTTACTTCAGCACGAGAATGGTTCACTTAAAATTTGTCGAATTTAACTTGAAATTCATACAGTTCCTTAAAAAACACATCAATATTTGGCTTCACTCTAAACAATACATGCATATATATACTATAGGTATATAATATGTAAATTTATTTATATTTCATAACTATATGCACCGATGTTATACACACACGCACAAAAAATTATGGAACTTACTTTGACTCAGCTCAAAAATTGAATTGAAATCTATCTTCTAGTTGAAACCGGTTCACTCAAATAAGACTCCGATGTCAGCCCTATCTAATCTCTCAAGAATTCAAGTTTTGAACCCATATACATGCATGTGTAAACTAGAATTAATATAGTACTCCATATTTTACTTCATCGCTTCTGATTTGATTATTTGTATCATATGAACATAGTATTATGTTAACTTCCTATCATAACAGATGTTTTGATGTGTTGACTTCCTATCGTAACAGATATCCTGATGATCCTTATGATAGAATCTGGGAGTCAGATCTCTATAAAAGGCAGAACTATCTTGTGGGAATGGCTCCTGGTACAGAAAATGTTAGCACCATTAAGAATGTCAAGGCAGACTTTAGAGAGTTTCCACCTGTAAAAGTCATGCAGACAGCAGTTGTTGGAACAAGGGGAAGCCTCTCTTACAGATTAGACCTTGAGGGTTTCCCTGGAAACGCTCGTGCTTATGCGTATTTAGCCGAGATTGAAGATTTGGGTAAGAATGAAACACGTAAGTTCATAATGAAGCAGCCTGCTGTGCCCGGTTATGAAAATGTGATAGTGAATATTTTGGAGAATGCCCATGGGAGCTATGCTCTTTATGAACCAAGTTACATGAACATATCATTGGACTTTGTTCTTTCCTTTTCGTTCTCAAAAACTCATGATTCTACTCGTGGTCCACTCTTGAATGCAATCGAAATCAGCAAATATGTGCAAATCATGCCTAAGTCTGATTTTCGAGATGGTAATTAGTCTCATTTTTTAGGGATAATTACATACATAGCGCTTGAAACATTGAATTTGATAAAAATGGAAGATATAGGGTGGGGTTTTATAGTGAATTCTGATATTGGAGCGAACATTTGAAAAATGGATGAAAAATGGATAAAAAATGGTTCTAATTTTGTAAATAGCAATGCTTCGAGTGCTATGCATGTAATTGGTTTTAATGAATTCTGTTCAACATTCCTTTGGAGCTGATCTTTATCTCTTTTCTTTTGTCTGGCAGTTTCTGTTCTAAATGCATTTTGCCTCATGGCTTCAGTTGGTGATTGGAGGTATGACAATGGAGATCCTTGCATCCCTGCAGCATGGGATTGGGTGAACTGCAGCTCCACCATGCCATCAAGAATTACAAAAATGTAAATTCTGTAAACACTGCTCTTCATTTGAAATTTTAAAATAATTAATGATAATTACAATTTTTATAGCTAATAATTATAAAATTTTTCAAGTGCATTGTCGAATAAGAAATTGAATGGTCCCATACCGTCAGAGATCAAACAGATGGATCAGCTGAAGGAGTTGTAAGCTCAGTTGTCAATTCATACTTTGTATTTTTTTTGTTTTTTTTTGGCTTTTGAAAGTTGGAATTTATGCTTGAAGCTTAATCATAGCTGTTCACTATTGCTTAGGTGGCTGGATGGGAACTTCTTGAATGGGCCAATCCCAGATATGAGTAACCTGATGGGTCTTAAAATATTGTGAGTTTCTATTGTTTTGAATTTAATATTATTATTATTATAATTATTATTTTTTGCATATTGGATGCATTTATATTTTTTCATATTGTTTTTGCTGGTCACATATTTTCTTAAATTTTCAGGCACCTAGAAGACAATAGATTGAATGGCCAGCTGCCTTCATACTTTGGGGAACTACCAAGCTTGCAAGAGCTGTATGTACTAACATTCCTGCACTATTAATGCCATAAGAAGTTCATGCATATGGAGGAATTATATGTGTTTAACAAATTTTTATAGGATTTCTTGTTTGTGCATCTTACATTGCAGGTATATCCAGAATAACAATTTTAGTGGGGAAATCCCTCCTGCACTATTGACCAAGAAATTGCTATTTCAGTAAGTTCCCTTTTGTTTCAACACAATTTAAGAGAATTAAAATGATGACAAAACAAAAATTAAGGAGTATAAACCTTGCTAAATCAATGTTCCCAAATTGTTTTAATGAGGGCTAAAATAGCTCTCATTGGGGACTATTTCAATCTATGAAGTATGTATATGGGGATACAGACACGACACGATACGGAGATACGATATAATTGAAAAAATATGACACGAAACGTCATGAACATGTTTTATATTTAAGTAATATATTTTTTCATTAGAATATCACAACACAAATTATGCAAGAATAAAATTTAACTTCATAAATTTAATTTATATTATAAAACCTCATTCTCATAAAAAATTATTTTTAACCAGATATAACCCCATTTTAACTTCATAAATTTAATTTATATTATAAAACCTCATTCTCATAAAAAATTATTTTTAAATTTAGAAATAATATATTTTAAATGAATTCATTCAATTTATAATAGAACTTATCTACTAAAATTTAAAAAATCCTATGATTCAAAGAGGGAATTACTAACGTTTGGCTTCGACGAATATTGAATGCACATTCGATGCTTGATTTTGACAAATATAAATGGAAGCTTGTTGAAAATTGGACCTTATTTAAGGTCCTATTGATAATAAGAAAATGGTGAAGAAACTTAGAAATTTATTTGTAAAACATTGTAATACTTAAATTGTAAGTAGGTTTTGAACGACTCTTATCAGAGCCCTAAGCCTAGCAGTCGTCGTTTGTGCTGCTTGATCGTCAGGATCGGCATGCAGAGACCCGAAACTTCAATTTTCCCCTTTTATTCTGGGGGTACAGAGGAGTTATATTCGGGTTATACCGGAGGTTACAAGGGGTATAACCCGGATATAACCCCATTGTACCCCCTAACTCTGATCTGATGTAAGACGCAAATATTTCTCCAGGATCGGAGCGGCATGCAGAGACACCAAACATCAATTTTCCCCTTCCGCTTCGTCCTCGTGAAGCAGCCGTCACTAGAGGTAACTGGGACGACAACGAGGGGATGGGCGGCAAGAAACATTGGATACAGTCACGATTAGATCTAACTGGGACGACAACGAATGGATCGCGGCGTTAACCCTCACGACACAGTCACGATTAGAGCTAACTCGGAAGGCAAATATGTGATTGCGATGGACGCTCGCAATACAGGCACGATTGCATCAAGCTGTTTAGTAGATGGCCGCTCGGGCGTGCCTTAGGACCAAACTGACGACGCCTTCGGCTGCTGGATCTCAACAGAATGGTTCGAGCGGCTCAGTGCAGGGCAGGGGCAAAACGCGCGTGAAACCATGACAGTGGAGGAGAGAACTTTTATTCTACACGTGTGAGAGGATGATGAAGGCCGAGGAATAGTTAAATTAAGGATGTTAGGAGACAGAGATATTGCGTGAGTTAAAGCTTTGGAGCTTCTTGGGAAGATACATGTTGAAATTTTGAAAGTTTTAGTCGGGCTTATATAGGGAACTAGCGGCTCGATAGGAGCCGCCACCTCGGCACATGCTCCGATACAGATGAAGCTAGATCTCCCTTTTATGGATCTTGAACTTAAATGGATTGGCCACATATTTGAGTTGGCCAAGTCGGGCTGAGGCTGATCTAGTAGGGAAGAGACCGAAGGGATATTTGATAGAGGTCGAGCTAAAGAGTGATAGTGCTGAGAGGGATGAGTGGAGGACCACAAGTTTTGTTTTCCACCCGACCACTAAACTCAAAGGTTCCATAGATTGCCTCATCAGTAGATGACATTCGAAAGGTGAACGACATCTGGGCGAATCTGAAGAAGATTTATGCTGGAGTTGAGAATCACAATAGAGTGTTCTAGATTCAGCGTGAGATAGGGGTAATGGTTCAAGGTGATAGATCGATTTAAAAGTACTCTATAGAGCTAGAGCGTTTGTGGGCAGACCTTGATCACTTCTCACCGATGTTGAGTTGTGGCAATCCAGAGTGCAAGAAAGAGGGGATACTTGTACAGATCGAGACTATACAGTTTCTCGCCCATCTGAACCTAACCTTTGATCAGAGGAGATCAGTTATCCTACCTTAGGCTATTATCCCTTCACTAGAGGAGGGCATTGCTATGATGATAGATGAGAAGAGTTGCATAAAGCTATATTATGAGCTAAGTGGACTTTTGATGTGCGATCAGCTTTGGCTGCCCAAACTCAGGTATGATAGGTGTCCTGGGAGAGCCTCACAAGTGCTAAACTATGGTGAAATTGGGAATCTGCGCAAGACTTGTTCTAGGCCACCTAAGGAGAGGGGAGACAAGTGGGTGGAAGTCGTGGTAGTGGCCACGTTGGTCGAAAATATGGAAAATGGGCTATCAGACAATTCTAATGGTAGCATAAAAGGGGAGAAACATGTATTATTTTTACTAATGAGGATCATGAGTGTCTGGAGTTGTTGAAGGAGAAGTAGAAAACAATAGGAGATGGGTTCCCACTTATGCTCATTATGACAAATAATTGTGACACATATGCTCTTGCAAATATTTTCACGACAGGATCATCAAAATGGATATTAGATTCTGATGCATCTTGACATGTAGGTACTGCTAGAGTTTTCTTCCTATACTCACCTAGTAGTACCAGAGAGCATCCAGACTACTGATGAACACAGTTTGTAGTTGGTAAGGGCATAATGAGGAGTACTAATTATATGGCTTTGTCTAATATTTTGCATGCTTCTTCTTTTCTAGTGAACCTTTTATCCATTAGTGCCATTATTTTTCAACTAAAATGTGTTATTCTCTTGACATTCTTAAGGTGATCTTCCAAGAAAAAAAAATATAGCAGACACGGGACTGGAACGTGACATAGTTGACTCTAGTACTTTGACCGGAAGGGGATGGACTTAGTTTTGACACTTATGGTAGAAAGTATTAGAGTAAGAGAATCTGTGAGAAGTGTGGATGATGTGTTATTGCTACATCACATACGCATGAGACACTCTTGTTTTTGTTTATTGAGTTAGTTGTTTTCTTCTTTCTATGAAAAGTCAAATAAGCAAAAGCTTGTTTGTGATGCTTTTAAGTTTGGTAAGCTTATTAGAAGCTTTTATATCAGTTCTGAGAATAACATTTTGATGTTTGTGGAAGTTTTATGTTGGTTATCGATATTTTGTGAGCTTTATTGTTTGTTTTTCTCAAGTTTCTTATTTATATTTGATGAAAAATAAGGGTGATGTATTTGTTTGCTTTAAATACTTCAACAAGACTATCTAAACTCAATATGATGTAATAGTGAAGATATTGATGTCTGATAATGAAACAGAGTATGCCAACAAAATATTTGAGAAATATTTGTCAACTCGAGGAATACAACCTCAAATCACATGTCCAAACACAACAGTACAAAATGGAGTAGTAAAGAGGAACCTTCTAAAGCACTTATGAGGGCTAGCAGTTTTGATAGCTGCTTAATTAATCAACACGATGCCCTCGAGAATATTGGATTGGAAGTCTATTTGTCAGATGTTCAAAGGTGATAATAACGGGATTGTCTCATTAAAGGTGTTTGAATGTTTATGTTTTGTAAAGAATACAAGCCATCAGTAGGGAAGCAATATCCCAGAATTATGAAATTTGTGTTCGTAGGTTTTTCTGTTCCCTAGAAGGGGTATGCTGAAACCTGATAGAGAAGAAAATGTTTATGAGCATGAATGTGTCATTTAGAGAATTTGAACCTTACTATACTTAGTAGGTGACCTCACCCTTTGGTGGTTTGTCAGATTTGGAGATATGAGGCAAGGGGGGTGAGTAGCAATGATGAGAGAGTGGTACACGTAGGAGCAATGTCTTGTCATGTGATTTGAGATGAATCAGTCGATGAACCAGAAAATGAAGAGAGTGAACCCATAGGTGATGTGATTTAGGCTGAAGATAAGCTCAGGGTATATACACAGAAAAAGAAGTAAAATGAGGGAACGGTGCCTACAGTGTCACATGTGTCAGCTAGTACCTTGTCCCGCTCCTCCCAGA